TACTTTTTTTAGATGAAAACTTAGTTTCTCTTAATTATAATAGTCTTCCTCTTTTGCAATAGGTTCTTGATAACCCACTTGAAGATTGTCAACAACCATCATCATTTGTTCCAGGTGTTCACATAAGAAAGGTTAGAGAAAATTTCATTAAAATTTTGAATTTTATTTTAATTTCATAAATCCTAACATTAATATGATCATGAGATCAATTAATTCCTTTTTCTTGTTTAATATGGATTAATCGACAAACTGTTAATTGCGTGTCATGTACACATAAACAGTCTAAGTGATCATTTTTTTCTTTTGGTTCTTGTTGTTGTTGTTGTTTTTTAGTTGGTATAGTGAAATAAATTATGTTAATTTATCATATTATTTCTAGTTTTCACCACAAAAGCTAAAACGCCTAATCGTACACACTCCAAATAGAAGCCTCGAAAGCCGAACCAAACATCATTCTTAACCAAAAGGACCCAACTGTAGCTGATGGAATTGACGGAATTTTGATCCGACATCAGAATCTTCGGATGTTGACAAAAGTCAACTCTTTCATGCATTAAGCCTCCAAAATTGAAAAACTTGCACCAAAGACTATGTGTCCTGATCATACTCATCCTCAGAATGTATCATTTCATAATCTGTATTTATGGTGTTGCTATGTTCATATTGACCAACTTAAACCTGTACCTCTTGCCCCTTATTCTCTTTTGTCCCTGCTGCTTGTTGTTGCCTTCTTTTGATGGCATCTCTCTTCTTTTCACTTAGTTTACCTTGACATTTGTTGTTGATAATTTGCCCTTGCTTTATGCCCCCACTATCTTGTATGTTCTGTTCCTATTCTCTCTAATGAACATTCTTTTTTCTGATTCTTTTTTTGAGTGTTATGAGAAGTATTATTACCCTGTTGATCATTCTGTTTACTGTGTCCCTGACCGGAAACCTTTCCCTGATGGAAGAGTTGATTGTGCTCGTTCTCTTGTGTGGTCTGATGAGAAGTGGTAGTAGAATCTCTAGGGTCTTTCTTAGGGCCAGTGTGTAAATTCTCATGTATATCATGATGCAGAAACCCCCATTTGGATACCCCTTCTTGCAAGTTAGTAAAATTCTCCATCAACCCTCCATCCAACACTCCAACAGCTTTCACAACAGTTAGATTTTGGGATATAGGAGTTGGTAACACATAATCGGTTTAAAATGTAGGCACCAGATCAGAACCATTTATTATTGTAGTGATGAAGTGCTTTCCTGACTCTACCAACTCCCACATCACACAGGCAGCTGCACAACACTAACACAGTAACGATAAAGGAAGGAAAAACACATCAGGACATTGGAATTCATAGGCAAAGATGTAAGAGATGCTAATTTATCAAGGAGACACTAGAAATGTATCCGATATTAAAATTGTAGGCACGACTCAAAATGGGAAAGAACTATGATATTATACAACCTCAACATATCCAAAAATCATTAGAGTAGCACTTCTAAAACACAGGTCATTTCCTCAATTTTATAAATACCAAAAAATCAAAATGATAGAATCAACAGATCACCACACAAATAAAGATAGAATAACTGGTGCAAATAGTTTAGAGTACTAAACTACTAATAGAGCATAAAAAGAAGTACAAAGTCTAAACCAGGTAGAGAAGTCCACTTCCTTCCTTATATAGGGCCACAATCAAGTAAAGGAGATTGAAGATTTCACTTTCTTCTTGGTCAAGGGATAGAGATGTAGACTTTTTCAAGGATTTCACTTGTTTGCCTGTGTTTTCGCAGCCGTTGTCTTGTCTTCATTATGATTTTTGCCTGTACCTGGACTGTTTGGCAGATCTGGTTCAACAAGATCAATATAAGAGCTATGTGTAATAATATTTTTACCTGTATGACTGTGACTTTTCTGGGAATTGCTTGTGCAGCTTCAGTTAAGTTTGTTTAATATTCCTGTGCTTAACTCTAGATACTTAAATATGAGTATAATCTATGTTATCAGACATAACCAACAGTTACTGAGAATGTGCTAACCAAAGTTGGCTTTATGCTTAAAGAGTACCAATTTGGTGAAGTACTTTGCCTCTGGGCTACTTCAATTGTTATATTCAAGAAGCAGATATTAGTTGTTGCTAAAGCATTTCTGATGCAAAATACCTTGTCTGGATTTCCAAAAATTGTGAACCACTTACAAATCGAAGTTGCAGATGCCTGATGGTTACCTGTGCTTTACATAGAGCTTTACTTAGGGTCGATTACAATTCTTTGATTGACTTTTGTTGTCCTTTGCCTACTCTCTTTTTGATTCTTTGACTCTATGCGTGAAGTCAAGTCGTGGTGTAGCTATTGTTGTTCTTTATCATTGGTGCAATCAGTCGAGGATGTACGAACGTGGTTGCCCTTCAAATGATAGACAGTTCGTCACATAATATTAATTGTGTTGTTGCAATAGCTTTGGTTCTTCTTTAATACTAATTATTAGCTTGCTGTTACCTCTTGAATCTATTGGATTATGGTAAAATAATCTCTACAACGTAGGACGAGACACCTTCACAAACATTAGTCATTGTCCTCGTATATGTTTGAGCTTCTAATCCAAGTCCAATTGAAAAGAAGATAATTTAGTTCTGCTTTAGGAATTGTTGGTGAGCAATTCACTTTTCTCAATACAAACAAGCTGCTTTGTTTGGTATTTTAAACCACATAAATAATGAACCTAATCCTCGGGTTTGATGTCATAGATTAAGCCTGGATCACCTCATGTGCTGCTGGAACAACCTGTGGTTCGGTAGAGATATTGAACCCTCGCAATTCATCGTTCATGAATATCATTCCAGCACCACTAGCATCCTTCACATGATGTCCCTTATCAATTCTAGTAACATTACCATCAGATATACACAATACAAATTTTCCTTTGACATTCATATTCTCCAGTGCCTCTGCGCTGCAAAATGCATCATTGACATTTCTAATCAGTGGTAACAGTGTCTCGGAGAAGTCTTTGGGTTGGAATCCTGATTCCCCATCAATTTCTTTTCCATCACCAAGACATACTATGGCTCTTAATTTTCTATCAGTAGTGCTCTCACCAACGGTGAGAAGCCATGGATCTCGATTATTTACAGTGCCTGGTAGTGGACCTATATTTCCAGCTGAACAACTAACAATTAATTTGTTGATTCTCTTGTTGCTTTTTTTTACTTTCCTTCCTGAAAAATTGGCACACTTATGTATTCAATGAAATGTTAAGTTTTGTATTTCATAAAGTATCAAAATAATCAATTTAATGTTTTTTCTCAGGCTAACATGATCAAGAAGACTGGAACTAGCGTAGTTGGCACAAATAAAAAGAAGTGGGTATGTTTGAAAAAAACTACAAGATCTTTCTTTTCTTTCAAAAGGAGGAAAATTTCATGTATATAATTACTGCTTTTGCATCAATTCCTTAATATTTTTGTTTTTAGAAAAATTCAATTAGTCATTTTTTATATCCCAATTTGTTCTAGTTAATGGGGATCTAATTTCTATTATCATATATTTATAAATTCTCTTATGTGCATTTTTTGTGCAGAATTTTTAAGGAAATTGAGGTCAAGTATCAACTTCAACATGCTCAACTTTTGGATTGATGATTTCATAAAGATTTATTGCAAATTTACTGGAGATTTTAACTCCATTTGAATTAGAAGTTAATTAGTTGGTTTTATGTTGAGATTATTACATTTAGTTAGATACTCAATTTTACTTGAGATAGAAAGATAATTTGTTTTGACATTGTTTACTTTTACAGGAAACTTATTATGTTGCTATTTTGTTCTTTGATTATAATATTAGAAAATATTTGCTTTATATAATATTTCTTGCTTCTCATGAAGAAGATAGTTTTGAATGCACAGATTGTTTGTATGTATTTGTCTCTTGAGAAAAACTAGATATAGATTTTTCTGGGATGTTTAAAGAAACTTGGTAGCGACATTAGAATATTAATATGACATTTAGCAAAATATAAAATAATGTCACCAATTTTTATGACATTCAATAATAGCATTTGTTGACATTAACTAAAGTGTCAGAAATTTCAATGTGACATTTTATAAATGTCACAAGTAAGTGTCTTGAAATTTGTTTTCCCAACATTTAATCTAAATGTCAGAAAGTTTAAGTGACATTTCATAAATGTCAAAAAAATAAATGTCATATATCTCATACCAACATTTACCTAATTATCGAAAATAAATGTCATATATATCTCATATCGACATTTACCTAAATGTCGAAAATAAATGTCATATATCTCATACCAACATTTACCTAATTATCGAAAATAAATGTCATATATATCTCATATCGACATTTACCTAAATGTCGAAAATAAATGTCATATATCTCATACCAACATTTACCTAATTATCGAAAATAAATGTCATATATATCTCATATCGACATTTACCTAAATGTCGAAAATAAATGTCATATATCTCATACCAACATTTACCTAATTATCGAAAATAAATGTCATATATATCTCATATCGACTTCGACATTCATATAAATGTCAACAAATAAATCTCGTAATATTCTTACCAACATTTACATATCTATTGCAAAGTAAATGACGCAAATTCATTTCAACATTTACCTAAATGTCACAAAATAAATGTCACAAAATCTTCCCGACAATTACCTAAATGTCGAAAAAATCCCCGATACTAAAATATACGACATTTGGTCCAAATGTAAAATAAATGTCGGTAAACAAATTTGTGACATTTAAACATCATAATACGACATTTAGAAAATGTCGTTGTATCTCCACTTTCTTGTAGTGGATACTTGAAAGAAAGTTATCCTATTTTATAAACCCTCTCATGTTGAGTCCTAAACCTATAGATTTATAGTACCCTTCAAGGAAGCACTATGTTTCACACAACTACATTTGTCTACAGTTGGAACTCTTAGAAGTTAGCCGTGTACATGCTGCATAAATTTAAAGAAAGCAACCAGCCACAGACTGTTCGTAAGTGCATAGGTCACAAGATATATGATTCTCAAGCAAAAGAATGTAATCACGAATTGTATCACGAGCTATGTGATTAATGAATTAATTATTATAAATAATTGCAAGAAGTTGAGAATATAGACTACTCTGCAGTGTAGGGTGGGTATATTTAGGGGTACTACGTGCGACACTACTCTGTGCACATAATTCATATATAGTCAGTTGGAATTTCCCGTCGTGGATTCATCTGACTGATACAGGCCTGCGGGCAGACCATACAGGAGCCTTGGGGGGCGTACCTTGATAGACCTCGTTACCAGAATATGAGATTTCACGCGTGGTCGTGACAGTGGGATACAGATGCCATACAGGGTTCACTAATCACCGTCAGTAGGCCATCATGTTATTCCCTGATAGTTAGCTTTACAAAGAGCAAAGAAGCGATATAATGAAGTAAAGATATCACTTAGGCAAATTATAGGGATTATATATATATAAAAATGACTAAGCCATGAAACATTCGATGAGGACCCTTGAGGTTGGTAACAATTCCAGTTACGGATTATGTCTCATGCATACACATGCTCTGATTTGCCTATCATGATATTTGATGTCTACTTGTTATTCAGTTTGCTTTACATACCAGTACATGTTTTGTATGTACTGACGTCCCTATTATTTTGGCATTTCATTTGTATCACTACATGCTCATGTACTCAGGACAACAAGCATTTTCAATAGACTAGAGACTTCCAGTTTAGCAGTTGGTAAGCTCCACCTCTACCTGGAGCTATCAGATATTTAGAGCCTATATTTTGCTACGTATCTACATATATCAAAATGGATATGTCAGGGCCCTGTCCTGACTAGTTGTCAGATTCTCAGAGGCATACTCTTTAGAGGCTTTATAGACTTAGTCTTGTTTCCATTGTAAAGTAGCCAAACGGGGCCTTTTGTTATCTATGTTTTAGTATGTGTCTTCATACAGGTTTTGTTGCTTATAAATCTACAACTTTGGCATGAGATTAGTAAGATATTTAGCTGGTGTTTGTGTATATCCTTGATGTTTGCCCATTTCTAGTTATGGGTGCGACAATTCAAACCTAACTCAATATCACAAAGTACTTAACATGAAGTGACTATTCAAATCTAAATCACAAGATTCAGGTTCTATACCTCTATAGGAAATCTCATCCCAAGAATATTACTCCTTACCACTACATCCAACTAGCCTCGAGTCTCAATCAAGAACCACCTAGTGCATCATGCTTTCATCCACCCACCACCAACACCATATTCAAGCCTAGTACTATAACCACTCCATGGATTCTTACTAACCACTCCTTATAAGAATTCCTCATTCTCTCGTCACTTCTACCAAAAAAATTTCATGCCTTATTACCAAGAATTGACTTATTACTCATCATAAAACCATATCTTTTTTTTCCTCCACATTTATAACCTTAGATGGAATAACACACCATCACTATCACAACAAGAAAAGATCAATCCTTTTCTCTATCATCACACCACCACTATCAACTAAAAAGGACCACTAAGAGAGCTTTAGGGAGAAAGATCATAAGCACAATTCATTCGAGATATCTGATATAAGAATATACATGGCATAACATTATGTTGCTAGACATTGAGAGTAAATCATGTACTTCTGAGACTGAACATACTATGTGACATGAATGCTTATATGAATAGGTTCATATTATATGGCTGATATCCACAACTTTATGGATTAAGTTTGAGGTTCATGGGGTAAAGTCTTTGCTCTTCATTCTGGAAATTGAGCATAGATGTGAAACTCTCTGAAGTGTATGAGCATAGGTCATAGACATAATTCTGATATTAGAAACGTCAATAAGATGTTGTAATAACTGAGCTTTGAGGAATACGCTAGAGTATGACTGGATTGATGAACCTCTACAACTCATTCTAAAAAAATCACTATCTCATCCTCAACACTTGAATTTGTTTCTCATCTCATCATCTCCCTCTTAGGTCTGAGAATGTCTCTTTAAAGCTATGGATCTATTCCATTATGTTTAAGCTAGTCTACATTCCTTTTTTTCTAATACTCGGGAAAGGCTTATCTCATGGCTACTGAACTCTCCATAAGTAGGTACTAAGACTCCTTCTAAGACCTCTTTCTGAGATACTTCTCTTGACCTCTTCTCATTGGCTTATAAGGCCGCTTCATTTAACTCTTTAAGGAAACAAATAATGCTTACATCAGCCTATTCCATATTGACAACTCAAATATACTATACATGCACACATGGAAAATCATTAACGTAATTGGAACCTCATTTGATTACATACAATCTCGGGTACACCTCTTATTGCTTTTGTTACTCTTATGACTTAGCCACACTTCACTACTATTATCTAAAAGTTAGAATCCCATATTTGTACCACTCACATTCATTGTAACTAACCTCTTAATTCCTCTCCTACTCTATGTCAAGTCTACCAGATCAAATCTCAAAACTAACATCATAAACCTCACGTTGCTATTCTTTTTTACCACGACTCTCATCTCAAATTCAAGCCTAATGTCTATTACAAAACATGGATATCAATATAATTGCTCGCATACAATACTAACTCATTACTAATAGATAAAATTAAGAAACATTGATGAGTCCGAGATTTGGACTCATTTAGGGGTTTGTTTTGATAGTGTTAGTGTCCTCAAATGCCTGATTTATGCTCTAAATTGATGTCAAAGTGTTGATTTGTAGAATTTAAGGCTAAGTAGCAAGGTAAGGACACTACAAGACAAAAAGGGACTGCAATCCTGGTGATCGCCAAGATCACTCTGCGGTTCGCCGCGAGTGCCCCTTTAGCCCGCCCAATTTTAGAGTACACCATGTCTGAGATGAGGGAAATTTGGGTGAATTGTGTTCCATAACGGCGAATTGTCGAATGGATCGGCAAAGATGATGTACCGTCGAAAGTATAGAATAAGCAGTGAAGATGCAATCAAATTGGCTATCCAAAGGAACAAAGGGCGCATCACGGAAGTGATTGGCGATCCCGATATAGACTGCCTAAAGTTACAGTCCATATCGTACGAAAACATGAAACAAGAAGGTGATGGATAGGGGCGATTGGCGAATCGCCGACCGGTCAGCGAAGCCCGAATTTCCTCACCGATTGAACCCAAAAGATCAAATATTAGATCAATATAAATTGATATTTTTAAGAGATATAAGACATCTAAATAGTGAGAAACTCATACCTAGAACAAAGAAAACACTGTTCTTGCTCAATTTTGAAGCTTTCAAGTAGATATTCGAGTTGGGTCTTGTAATTAAAGCAAAGTTTAATCATTTTGAAGTTGAGAAAATCAATACTCAATCATGGAGCATGTTGTAGGTATTGAATTTTCACTTTTTGTGATGACTAGCTAAAACCCCAATCTTGGGGGTTTGACCACGTGATTAATTGCTAGTTTAGCTAATAGGTGTTAGAAATTATTGATTGTTTTGCTAAATCAAAGTTGTTCTAATTTATACCTGTTGTTATTTAGCTGCATTTTATGTTTCTTTTATTGTTCTTGGTGTTTTGTGCTTGCTTGAGAGTGAAGTTCAAAACCAAGGCTATAAATTCGCACTCGTAGTAATTGGGCTATTGTGGATTCAGCTCGAGAGAGTGAATCTTAAGTCCGGTTCTACCTATCTAGCTCGAGAGAGTAGATTGAGCGAGGTTGTGGGATGGTCTTCATGTTTAGTCTAATGAGGTTTGAGAGAGCTCAAGTAAAGAGAGGTAG